TACTGGATAAGGTGACACTAGTGGTAGTTTCAACTGATGCTGCCATAATTGTTGGTTCAACAACGTAACTACTGAGACAACATCAGAGGTTGTAATTAAAGTTGTTGATCCAGAGGGTGCAGTCAAATCAGCAAGTGGGCTTGAGCTGACACCAGTGGTAGTTGTAACTGATTCTGTTTTTGCTTCAACAGAGGTAAGCTTTTGGACTGCCTCAGTAGATGTAAGATGAGTTATTGATCCAGACGATGTAGTCACATCAGTATGATGGGTTGATGTGACACCGGTGGTCGATTCAACTGATTCTCTAATTGTTGTGTGTTCTACAAGGGTAACATTTGAGAAAGCCTCAGAAGATGTAAGATCATTTGTTGATCCAGAGGGTGTAGTCAAATCAGTATGATGGGTTGATGTGACACCGGTGGTCGATTCAACTGATTCTCTAATTGTTGTGTGTTCTACAAGGGTAACATTTGAGAAAGCCTCAGAAGATGTAAGATCATTTGTTGATCCAGAGGGTGTAGTCAAATCAGTATGATGGGTTGATGTGACACCGGTGGTCGATTCAACTGATTCTCTCATTGTTGTGTGTTCTACATGGGTAACATTTGAGAAAGCCTCAGAAGATGTAAGATTATTTGTTGATCCAGAGGGTGTAGTCAAATCAGCAAGTGGGCTTGAGGTGACACCAGTGTTAGTTTCAACTGATCCTGTCATTGTTTCTTCAACAGAGGTAACCTTAGAGACAACCTCAGTAGTTGTAACCTCAGATGTTGATCCAGAAGGTGTAGTTATATCAGGTTGGTGGGATGAACTGACACCGGTGCTAGTTCTAATTGATCCAGTCATTGTTGGTTTGACAGATGTAACTTTTGAGACAGCCTCAGTAGAGACAAACTCAGTTGTTGATTCGAAGACTGTGGTCACTTCAGTATGTGGGCTTGAACTGATACTAGTGCTAGTCTCAACTAATCCAGTTATTGTTGATGGTTCTACAGTGGTAACTTTAGAAACACCATTAGCTGATGTAAATTCAGTTTCTGATCCAGAGGGTGTAGTCAAATCAGCAAAGGAGCTTGAGCTGACACCAGTGCTAGTTTCAACTGATTCTGTCATCGTTGTTGTTTCTAAAAAGGTAACATCTGAGACACCCTTAGTTGATGTAAATTCAGAAGTTGTTCCAGAGGGTGTAGTCAATTCCGGGTTTGAGCTGACACCAGTGCTAGTTTTAATTGATCCAGTAATTGTTGGTTTGACAGATGTAACTTTTGAGATGGCTTCAGTAGAGGCAAACTCAGTTGTTGATTCATAGGGTGTGCTCACATCTGTATGTCGGCTTGAGCTGTCACTAGTGCTAGTTTCAACTGATCCAGTTATTGTTGATGTTTCTACAATGGTAACTTTAGAGACACCCTTAGTTGATGCAAATTCAGCTGTTGATCCTGAACGTGTAGTCAAATCAGTATGCTGTGTTGAGCTGACACCAGTGCTAGTTTGAACTGATTCTGTCATTGTTGTTGGTTCTATAGGAGTAACACTTGAGACAGCTTCAGACGGTGTATGATCAGTTGTTAGTTTGGAGGTTGTAGTCATATCAGTATGTTGGGCTGATGTGACACTGGTGGTAGATTCACCTAATTCTGGCATTGTTGTTCGTTCTACGAAGGTAACATTTGAGAAAGCCTCAGAAGATGCAAATTCAGTTGTTGATCCAGAGAGTGTAGTCACATCAGTATGCTGGGTTGAGCTGACTCCAGTGCTAGTTCCAACGGATCCTGTCATTGTTGACTGATAGGGTGTTGTCACTGTAGCATGTGGGTTTAAGCTGGCACTAGTGCTAGTCCCAACTGATTCTGTCATCACTGATGGTTCCACAATGGTATTTGTTGATCCAGAGGGTGTAGTCACATCAGTATGCTGGGTTGAGCTGACTCCAGTCCGAGTTTCAACTAATCCTGTCATTGTTGACTGATAGGGTGCAGTCACATCAGTGCGTTGGGTTGAGCTGACACCAGTGCTAGTTTCAATTGACCTAGTCATTGTTGGTTTGACAGAAGTAACTTTTGAGACAGCCTCATAAGGTGTAATATCAGTTGTTGATCCAGAGGGTGTAGTCAAATCAGCACGTGGGCTTGAGGTGACACCAGTGCTAGTTTCAACTGATTCTGTCATTGTTTCTTCAAAAGAGGTAACGTTAAAGAAAACCTCAGATGTTGATCCAGCAGGTGTAGTTATATCAGGTTGTTGGGTCGAACTGACACCAGTGCTAGTTTCCATTAATACAGTCTTTGTTGGTTTGACAGAGGTAACTTTTGAGATGGCTTGAGTAGAGGCAAACTCAGTTGTTGATTCGAAGAGTGTGGTCACTTCAGTATGTGGACTTGAGCTGATACTAGTGCTAGTTTGAACTGATCCAGTTATTGTTGATGGTTCTACAATGGTAACTTTAGAGACACCCTTAGTTGATGTAAATTCAGTTGTTGACCCAGAGGCTGTAGTAAAATCAGTACGTTGGGTTGAGCTGACACCAGTGCTAGTTTCAACTGATTCTGTCATTGTTGCTTCAATAGAGGCAACTTCTGAGACACCTTCGGAAGACGTAAAATCAATTGTTGGTCCAGAGGGTGTAGTCACATTAGTATGCTGTGTTGAGCTGACACCAGTGCTAGTTTCAATTGATCCAGTCATTGTTGGTTTGACAGATGTAACTTTCGAGACAGCCTCAGTAGATGTAAGCAGAGTTGCTGGTCCAGAAGGTGTGGTCACACTACTATGTTCGGCTGATGTGAGACCAGTGGTAGATTCAACTGCTTCTGTCATTATTGTAGGTTCTACAATGGTAACATTTGAGACAGACTGAGAAGATAAAAGATCAATTGTTGACCGAAAAGGAGTAGTGAAATCAGTATGTAGGTTTGAGGTGACACCAGTCCTAGATTCAACTGATCCTGTCAGTGTTGTTGCTTGGATGGATTTAAGATTTGAGACGGCTTCAGTAGATTCAATCTCAGTTGTTGACCCAGAGGGTGTGGTCACATTAGTATGTTGGGTTGAGGTGACACCATTGCTAGTTTCAAGTGATCCAGTCATTGTTGGTTTGACAGAGGTAACTTTTGGGATGGCTTCAGTAGAGGCAAATTTAGTTGTTGAATCATAGGGTGAGGTTGAGTCAGTGTATGGACTTGAACTGACACTAGTGGTACTTTCAACTGATCCTGTCATCATTAATGTTTCAACAGCGGTAACTTTTGAGATGACCTCAATAGATGCAAGTTTAGATGTTGACCCAGAATGTGTAGTCATATCAGGATGTTTAGTTGAAGAGAAAAAAGTGCCAGTTTCGACTGATCCTGTCATTGGTGTTGATCCAGGTATGGTAACACCAATATGTATGGTTGAGCTGGCACTAGTCGCAGTTTCAACGGATACTGCTGTCTTTGTTGGTTCAACATGAGTAACTTTTGAGACAGCCTCAGTAGATGTAAGCTCAGTTCTTGGTGCAGAGGGTATGGTTACATCAGTATATGGGTTTGAATTGACAACAGTGGTAGTTTCAACTGATCCTGTCATTGTTGTTTGTTTGACAGCGGTAACTTTTGAGACAGCCTCAGTAATCTCAGTTGTTGGTCTAGGGGTTGTGGTCACATCAGTATGTTGGGATGATGTGGCAGCAGTGTTAGTTTCAACTGATTCTTTTGTTGTTGTTGGTTTGACAAGGGTAGCATTTGAGACAGCCTCAGAATATGTGAGCTCAGAGTGTGTGGACACTTCAGTATGTTGGGCCGATGTTATTCCAGTGCCAGTGTCAACTAATGCTGTTGAAGTTCAACAGTTTGGTGGATTTTGAACAAATTCAGGTGATGATGCGTAAATGTCATATCAAATTGTTGGGTTGTTGTGTGTTGTACTGTTGCTTCTGTTGATGCAAGTGGTCGAACAGATGATTCTATATGTGGAATTAAATATAAGGTGTTACCTTTGATATCCTTACCTTTCAATATACTATGTAATTATTAAAGGGGGACATACATTCAGCACAGCAGTTTGATATGAATAATTTGCTAAGGTCACTAAATGTTACAAATATAGTTTCACTAATGACAATAATTTGTTCGTGTTCAATTACTCAACATTGCACAACTTTACAAGTTCATAAAAAATAAGCCATAGTTTAAACCCAAATCAAAGAAAGCCTAAAAATAACTTCTGTGTGCTGCATTTGAGGCATATTAAAATTAATTAGCCTTTCAAACAAGAAGCATTGCAACTAATATTTGTCTGTTATTTAAGATGCACAACATGAAAACAAAATTTAAAATACTCGCAGTTAAATACATTTGATTTTCTGTGCAATTAATTTCAGAGCACCTCTATGACAAATTTAGTTTAAATCTGCTTTTTTGAAGATACCAGAAACGATCTAACAATTAAATAATCAATATGTATGTTTTTTCAACATACAATTAATCATGTCTGTGGAAGTATTATTCAAATTAAAATCAGGTAATTAGTATGCATGTTTTATTACGCAAAACTAATCAAATCTGTACATTAGTTCACAGCATCAAAATATATCAGAAGAACAGTCATGGAACAACTAAAATTATTTATCATGCAAAATTGGGTAATTAATATGTATGGTTTTAACCGAAACCTTATCAAATCTTGGCACTAGCCTAGAGCATCTATGCAGCATGTTTCCTCAAAAAACACCCTATGGTTCTTGAGTGAAACACTAAATGAAAAGACTCTCATTGAGCGCTTTACACACATAAGTCAAAAACGTTTCAGATCGACTTGCTCATCAGTTCCAAAATCCACGCTAATTTTTTTTCTTATTTAAAATTAAGTTAGAAAAGTTAAATATATCACTAGCACAATTTTTTTTTCATGCATGCGTAGATTGACATTCTTGATGTTTCATAAATATAAATAACCTCTCTCGGCTGACATAGGTCAGCTGTTAGCACTTTTAAATTAAAGAACTGAAGATATCATTAAAAATTAGAGAAATGAAATTATAATCACGAAATGAACAAATCTGAGAAAGGTCCACATGTAGTACCTATATATATATATATATATATATATATATATATATATATATATATATATATATATATATATATATATATATATAGATATATAT